TTAAAATTTTTTTTTCCCCCCCCCCCCCCCCCCCCAGATGTATTAAGAAATGAGTATTCAATTAGTTTTTTAACTATCTCGAAGACGTTCTTAAAGTCATTTTATTAGTTTTATTATGAGATATTTCAAGTTTTGACATCTGGATTATCTTCCTTCCTCCTCTCTTCAAAGATTGTTGAAAAAAAAAGTCCATTTGGTTAGGAAAAATAACTAATGTATTGAACTGCTTCATATTCTTATACATTCATCTCTCATAAGCAACACCCATCCCTCTAATGTAGGGACGTTCATTGCGAGAAGTCAGAAAGTTTGAAAAGAACTTAGAGAAATGACATTTAAATCTTATGATCTTTGAATAATCCCTTTTTCTTTTTAGGTCGACAAGATTACCATGAAGCTTCTGCCTACATTCAAGCTCAATTCGAAGCTAAAAACAAGTCAGCCAATAAGGTAATTTATTCTCAAGGATTAAATGGGTGTTAAATATTACTTTTTTCAGGAAATTTACTGTCACATGACATGTGCCACTGATACAACGAACATTCAGTTCGTATTTGATGCCGTGACAGATGTAATCATAGCAAACAATCTTCGTGGTTGCGGACTCTATTAGAAGCATTAATGAGTTTCTTCCATAAAAGCTGCCGTTACTCTGTTTCATTGATAATGCGATTTCCTCTTTAGTTCCATTTACAATATTCTCGGTTCCTCCTGGAGAGGGACAAGCACGAGCTTTTTTTGTGTGGTCGTCCCAGTCTCTCATTCTCTTAATATTTTTCGAACCTTCCTATCTGCTTAGGCTGTTCTTCTGTGTTTAGCTATGTTTTTCAGCCTGTTAACTATACATATATTATATATTGTCTATTTAAGCAGATTGCTCTCTTTCTTTTCTTCTATCTCTCCCTCTCTCTCACTCTCTTTTCGTACTTCTGATATGTCGCCTGTTTTCTTTTCTTTCTTAAATACCCAATGTTCAACTCTCACAAACTTTCTCAATTTTACCGGCTATAAATTAGCTATTATATTGGCACACATTATACCAAATGTGGTACTTGTGATTGTCGCAGCTGTAAACTCCTTGGCACTCTAACGTGATCTTTGTACTATTTATATATTTAACAGTATTCAAACCTAAATTTATTGCAGTTGTTCAACTGTATTTCGCCTTCATCTGCAAAACCTAGTCAATGTTTTCCAGTACTCGCGCTTCCATACGCGTCCTCTCTCTCATTCTACAAACGCTTTAATGCCAAGTCCTCTAGACGAAGCTGATTTTTTGCTTCTCTTTCTAAGGTTACTTGTATTGTCACGCATTAGTGTCTAAATCGAAGCAACTTCTCTAGTCTTTGAAGTAATAGAAACGTTGTGTTCGTTTCACTATAAGTAGTTGTTCCCCTTAACAGTTCTATCGGTTTTGCGCTCTTCTATCTTTGTTTTCCTCTTATATTGGCGCATATTTCGTATGCGAACAATTATTATCACATATAATATATTATTTTATAATTATTGAATAAAGTTTGTTTTGCTCCTTACTTATGTATTTTACTTTGTCTCTAGCAGTAAGCAACAGTGAAATTTTCAAAAATTACAAAAAATCTTTTGTTTACATTTTTACAAAATAAATCAATACATGCTGCATTATTGTCATCGATATTCAATCAGCATGACCATATTGGCTTCTTGAACAAGCTTGCAATTAATGCTTTATGCTAATAGCAACGAGTACATCTTTCTTTCTCTTCCACTCCATCTTTTACCCCATATGTTCTCACGCTGTGTGTCTGTCAGTTAAAGGGCGGACTGCAATAGGTCCTGCATCGACTGTTTCTCTAACTCTTCAAGTGACGTCAGGAACTATTGAATCGATCGATTGCCGCACTAGACCATTTTTCTTATCTCGTTCACTATTTTTAGAAAAGAAAAGGCTGATGCATGAGTAATTTTAATAAGGCTACTATTGACTCAAACTCTCTATAAACTACATATTCAAAGTTTTGCTGATCAATCAAGTTTTTAATTTAGAACTGTATGGAGGGTGACCATCAAGTTCCTCCTATGCTCATTGCTGGAGGTGATGGGAGACGTTTCTCACCGGGTGGGGAAATTCTACCTCTTCGCGAGCCGAGGCAGTTTTTTATCGAGCCTAGAGGAGTTGAAGGTGATAGAAACGAGAGCTTTGATGTAGCACCTCGAACTGGTGCTTCCCTTCACAGATGTGAGTTTGTTACGCATACATATTCAATGCACGTTTTTACTATAGCTGACTCAAGTACTTCATCTTTCAAAAATGCCGTCCGACAGAGAGATCACGAGTGTATCACACACGTGGATCCTATAATTTTACATCAAAAATGGACCGTGCGTTGTATACAAACATTGTGTTGACATGAGCAATGTAATTTAGATTGCCAACTTCAACTCATTGATAAAATTATCTTCTCCTGGTAGTTGTTTGAGAAGTGCTGTTTTTCGGTGAGGATGTACAGTGCTTAAGCTTACCTTTGACGATTATTCAGAGACCCAGGCTTGCCTGATTCCTGTTGGCAACTTTGTATGTATCCCGGGGGTAAAAGAGAGGAAAATGCTAACAATGTGTCTCTCTTCCTGAAGATGTCATCCACAGTTCCTAACAAAGAGGTAGGTAAATGCAGAAGTAGTTTTACCATAGAGTTATCAGGTTATTGTAAAAGCTGAGTATCGATTTTTCTTCCTTGATGATAAGGACCAGCCTCGATTCACTAATGTTAACATTGGCGACTTTCATGCAAAGCCACCGAAAGGTGGCCACAGTTGGGGGCTTAGAAATATACCTAAGCAGAAGGTTTGTTCCTCTTTTCGTTATACATGACATGAACGGCTTGCAGGTTATGAATAGTATTCGTGCGGATAATTCACTAGTGATCTCATGTGTAATAGAGTTGATGCCTGATGTTTCAAGAATTCCTTGTAAGAAGGTGTCTGCTTCATCAGGACCAACTACTGAAATGATGTCTGTTTCGAAAGTTCATATTGCTAATGGTATATTTTACCTTTCGTCTCTCTCATATGTCCCTCCAACGTTTCAGAACTCAAAATGTTCATGAATGGGGATCAGTCAGATATGAAGATCATCATCGGAGAAAATGGACATGTTTTTAATGTACATAAGTACAAACTCATGGCTCAATCTGATGTATTCCGGGCAATGCTGGAACATCAAGAACTCACTGAGTGCAAGGTTGGTGTGCGATATCCCGAGAATACGATAGGACTCTTTGCAGACAGGAGAATTGATCGTTAAAGATTTCTCTGAAGTTGCAGTGAGGGCTATGCTAGAGTTTGTTTATTGTGGTCATATTGCCAGCGATATTAGCATTGATGTAAGGTTCTTACTGTAGAAACTGTTATAATAACAGTATTATAGGAATATGCTGAAGCGATGGAGCTAGCAGAGAAATACAATGTTTTTTCGCTGAAATCGATCTGTGAAGACCAACTTGTTTCCAAGTAAGCATGCTTTCTTACCACTGTTGCAAATTCTCCTTCTCGCAGAGTGAATTCTTCAACTGTTATCGAAGCAATTGTTCTAGCTGATAGACACATGGCTCAAAGCCTATTCGACCATTGTATCGAAATAGTAAGTACTCTAGGTGTTGCTGTAAGAACTGCTTTTTCAGATTGTGTCTCAACGATCAAAAATTGTCGAGTCATCCAATTGGAAATCTTTGAAAGAACATAACCCACGTCTAGCAAATACGATTTTGGAGATTATTGTGAGTTATGATCAAGTACCACCGACGAAAAGGTCGAGATTGTAGTCATTATCTGAATGTAGGTATCATTTTCTTTTATCATTTTAACTGGTTTGTTTTTCGTATTAGTCTGCAATATTACGAGATCTTTCTGATGTTTTGTGATAATTACTATGTTAGTCTTCATCAACTTTAGCATTTCCGGTGTCTGTAGGCACAAACTACTCAAGTCTTTGAAACAATATTCATTATCTCATTTTCTCTTAAGGTCCAGGCATTTTTCCTATTCTAAGCCTTCACTTATATTGCCTTATTTCCTTTTATAACTGCCTTATTTGTAAAATATGAGTTTCTTTTCTTTCGTTTACCTCATATAGTAGCATCTTCATTACCCACCGATGTCATACCCCTCATTATCTGTAATTTGGTCAGCTGTGTATCATAACTAATAATTCATTTGAAATAAAATTGCATATATCTATATTTTAGCTGCTTTCAGGGTTTCTCACTACCCTAGTATATGATAACAATTTGAGTATAATTCTATAGTGATTTTAGTCAACATGGGGCGGATGGACGTTAATAACATGCGCTACCTGGAAGGGGAGCATTTTCGTGTTCTCATTGCTGTTAGTATTTCTCAATTTCTCGAATATTCTAGTGGTTTAGGTTGAAATGGGTATGAAGAATCATGAAATCGTTCCATTACCACTTATTGCAGCCGTAGCTGGCATCCATAGGTTTTTTGTTGTTCTTCATCAATTTAAATTGAGATTTGTGTTCAAGGGGTGCTGTCAGTCGATCTCTCTCTGATCTATCAAAACTTTCTTTGGTGGCATTTGAAAGAAGTCGAAAATGTAACTCTTCATAAAATGATGATATGTATAGTTTTTGTTCAATTCAGTCGATGGATATCGTTTAACCGTTCTTGGATACGATTACCTTGCTCTGAAAGCTCTTTGTGGAAGAAGTGTTGTCGGAAGTGTCGGAAATAAAATAGGAGTCGGCAAGGAGTCTGACGTATATGTTGGAGGAGATCCAGATCTCAATGTTTGTTTTATGGTCTTAATCATTGAATAGCATCGTTGTTCAGGATTTATGTTTGAAATTTCATCGTTTGGGCAGAACATCATTCCGTAAAATCAAAGAGAAACGTGATTATCACAAAAAGAGAAAGTCTGCTTCCTGGTTATATCTCAGTAGACTTGCCGCGGCCAAAGTTTGTTTCAGGGTTTTTCAGTCAAAACTGAATTTTCTAGGAGTTTGCTTTTCTGAAAGCATTATCAGACCACGGCTTTCCTGTTCCTAGACCTGTTGACGTTTGTCGCCATGTCGTAGTCATGGGTCTCATAGAGGGAGCAACACTATGCAATATCGGAGAATTATCTGATCCTGCCGGCATTTATAACAAGTAAAACAAGCTCGTTCTAAGTTTATTAATCATGGTTTAGATTAATGTGCTTGATTGTAAAACTGGGTCGTTATGGATTAATTCATGGAGACTTCAATGAGTTCAATCTTATGATAATGGAGGTAAGTGTTTTTGCTTCATTGTTATGGAATTATCAGAATTGCGATTGTTCATTGTTTCTTCTCTAATTATACGATATTTAGGAAACTGGGAAAATAATTTTGATTGATTTCCCTCAAATGATCTCAACAGACCATGATAATGCCGAATATTATTTCAATCGTGATGTGGACTGTATAAGAACACTTTTCCGACGAAAATATAACTATGAATCAGAAGAATATCCCAAATTTAGTGATGTTTCGCGAAAATTCACCCTGGATGTCGAGTTAGAAGCTTCAGGCTTCACGAAGCAGATGGCTCTTGATCTTAATAAGGTTTGTTCAGTGTTTTTCCATGAGTTGTGATGAAAATCTAGGCTTACGATGTTGGTAACTTCTTAGCGCATTGTGAGACTGATGATCGAGATTCCGACGAAGACGAAGAAGAGGAAGAAGTTGAAGAAGAAGGAGGAGTAAAAGACGACACGGAGCAGGATAAGGTTTACATTTACTCGCTCAACTATCTCAGCGATGTTTTTTTTAGGAAGAAGGGGATGATGATGAAGACGACGATGACTCTGACGATGATACTATACTGGAAGAAAATGAAGATCTTGACAAGGAAGAACTGAAAGCCGAACAAATTGATAGAGAGAAAAAGGTTTGTTCTTTCTGCCATTCTCTGTATATTTCTCGTTAGGCTAAAGCACTGGGTAAATCCGAAAGATTTATGGACTGGCTTGATACTACCGAGAAATTTGACAATCTTGCTCTAGAAGTTGATAATGATTGTCCGCTGCTTATACATCCTAAAGATGTAGAAAGGCTTGAAGAAATTAAACGGTATGTTTTCCTCCACAGCCATACTTAAAATATTTGCTTTAGTGATCGCGAAGAATATATTAAAAAACGGGAAGAAGCTGATCGTTTGGACGCTGAAAATGCTGAAAGCCCGAATGATAATGCAGATTCTGACGATGATATGGTATTCCTCGTTTCTTTTCATAAATAATTTCCAAACTTAGGCTCATGAACCCAAAAAAACTAAGTCTAAGAGAAAAGGAGCTCGATCCATCATGTCTACTACTTCAACTATCCCCTTAGAGGAAGTCAAAAGACGTGTAGCCCTCGAAGCTTTCCGGAACAAAGAAAAGGTTAGATTTGTTTGAGGACAATTTTGTTTTAAATGATAAGACTGTTGGACTCTTTTCAACGATAGCTTCTTCTTATCTTTTTTTGACAAATTCTATAACTTATCAATAATTTAAATTGATTACATGTGTTCATATTCAATATGAAATCTATTCAGGTAAAGCTTAGAGTGAAGGGTAAGCAGTCTGCAGTTGGCAGAGGTAGGAAGGAGAATCACAGCGTTATCAAAGAATATTCTGGCTGGATTTAAATGATAGCCCGTCCACAAATTTTATACAATTCACTTTCACTGGCTTGCCTGTGAAGAGCCATTGTTTAACTTTTTGATTTTGAAATCTAGTTCACTGCAAACGAACATCGTAGAGTCTATATTGTTTGCCCGGTTTTTGTAAAACTTTTTGATATTTTCTGAAAGAAATGTTTTTGTTACATCATGCTGAAATCCCCGCTGAATTACATATTGTCAACCTAAATGAGGATCAGGGCGAATAACTTTTCCCCTACCATCCTATTGTTCCAAGTGTCTTCTGAAAGTTGTAATTTCTTTCATTCTTTATAACTTTTGTGCTTCAAATCAGGTTAAGAATTCCAACCAAGGAACGACCTTGAGTTGACCTTTTCAACTTGTCATCGTTTTCGTGGACAGCGTATTCTCCCTTCAGCTTTTTTGTTATTTTCATATTTTTAACATGTTTGTTGAATCAATTGTTGTTTTTTCTCTGTTTTCATAAATCTCGAAAATGATCTCTTCTGTTCATAGTTCACCAAGTTTTTTAAATCGGATATATGTGCGTTTTTGAGTTTGATATCACAAAACTTGACTTTTCAGTTCGGCAATGTCTTCTACACAATCTGAGGTAATTTAATTCATAAATACAGTTGATGATTAAATTTGATCAAAGTTCTTCGCGAATTGTTTAAAGAACAAGTTTATTATCAAATTGACCTATGAAAAAAATTCGTACTAGTTATCTCTTTGATTGTATTCAGTTATCTATGATCATTAAGAGATAACATTTGCTTTATGTCTTGAAAAGGATGGTCGCGCCACACTTCTCCCAACTTTCCCTTCCTTTTCATCAATTTTCATAATAAATCAGTTTTGAACTGTTCTTTCATATTCCTTGTTTATTTAGGATCACCACATGGCTAAGGCTCACGCGATCATTCCAGACGACTTCGAGGTATTTGTTTTTTCTTTCATAAACAATATGCGGACTTCAGTTGCCAGTGAATGCTTTTGATATTCCCAAATGCTATGAAGGGGATCTACAAGCTGTTGTCATCCCAGAAGGACTTGTGAAAGATCGCGTACGGAGGTTAGCCAAAGGTTTGAAAGCCAATATTATTGATCAATTCATGAAACGCTTAAGATATTAATGATGTTATTGGAGACGAACCCTTGTCATTACTATGCGTCTTGAAAGGTTCTTACAAGTTTTTCACTCAACTGGTAAAGTTACGGCTTAGTTCGTTGCTCATCAAGATACGCTCCAGGTTGACGAACTGGCTAATGCCAGATCTTCTCGTACGACAGCTATGACTGTTGACTTTATTCGCTGTAAAAGCTACGAAGATACTGCTAGTAGTGGAACTGTCCAAATTACAGGGCTTAGTAACTTAGAGGAGTTGAAAGGAAAGAATGTGTTGGTCAGTGCTTGTTCACCTTTCCCGCTTCCCTTGAAATGAATGTTCAAACTGAAAACCCATTTTTTAGATTGTGGATGATATTGTTGATTCTGGACAAACCCTTCATCGATTGATTCATACATTGGAAAATTTAGGTTATTCAATGTTAAAGTAACAATTTCACTCTCTTCGTTTAGGTGTAAAGAGAACATGGTCCGCTCTTCTATTGGCCAAGCGCGTGAAACGTGTCATCGACGTTCGTGAAGACTTCGTTGCTTTCCAAATTCCTGACAAAGTTTGCACTTCTTATCAGTGAAATTATTATATTTTATATTTTGCAGTTTATTGTGGGATACGGCTTAGATTATAATCAAAACTTCAGGGATCTCAATCATATTTGCGTTATGAGTGAGAGTGGTATTGAGAAATACAAAAATAGATAAAGCTGCTAAGAACCTTCTTTTCTAAGAAAAATACAACAACTTAGATTTAGTACTTTATGATTGACCGAGTAATAAATAATGTTCTTAATGTTAGTTCATATTGTTATAAATCATATAAATTAATCTGCAACACATCCGTTTCAAGATACCGTCTGTACATTAGGAAACTGATAAGAGGAGCCATTAAATGAATACATAATCACATTCAGTTTTTCAATTCTCGGCCTAGGCTCTTGCTCCTATCGAAAACATTGACACAAGCTTTAGAATGATTCTATTACTCTTGGCTTTCTCGATTATTCTTCAAAGAGGTTATGCGTTAACTTCTATTGCCAAATTCGGTATGGAGTCTCAGGTGGGACGCCAGATGATTTTCACGGTTGAGTCAAAGTGTGATTGGAAATTAGAACTATTCAAATGAACAATGTTATAGGTTAACCTGTTTGTATGAACCTTTGGAAGCAGGAATGTTTCTGAAGGTTAAAGCACAAGTATGAATAATCATTTGCTTGCTAAAAACAGTGCATCCTTTACAGCCATACCCCCTCATAAAATCGAGATTCCCCATTCAATCCCGCTTGACATCTCCTTCTGGAGAGTTTTCCGAGTGGTTTGAGGGCGAAGGAACAGTCAGTATACGTCATAATGTGACTGAGACAGGTGAACTTTATTGAAACAATGCAACTTACATACTATTATAGGAGATTATGAGATCTGCTTGATGACCTCTCGACCATATCAAATCCTATTTGATTTGTTTTTCCAGAATCCAGAAACGGCAGAAAAGGGCCTCACAGATTACGTCGAGCATCAAAAACTTGACCAGAGCATTGAGGTGGAGTTTTCAAATTAGTCCTTTAAGATATAAGATTGTTTTTGAAGAAAACAGTTAGACGACTCTTTGCTTTGTTCTACAACATAGTGCATTCAATCAAATACTATAACATGGTTCGTTTACAAACAGTTCTATAGAATCACCAGTACTTTTTTAGATATCCTTTGCTGATGAGAAGCTCCAGTTGAGGAATCAGAATATGGTGGAAATGCACTCTTTGCTCTATTCACTGATATTCATTGTAGTTGCAATTGTTAACGTTGTTATAATACGAAAGATGTTCCGTCTTGATCCCCATCGTATTCGTATTTGATCCCTTTTCCGGTGCTTTTGCGTCTCAACGGGTTGAGTGAAAGTTTCCGTAATAATTGTACATTTCAATTTAGTTGTGTTTTCTCCTCCACCAATTGATAAGCGAGATCGAAATCGATATTTGCTTTTGCATTTCTCTCCTCTTCCATATTGTGTCTATAGAATTTCATAAAAACATTTTTCCAATAACAGACTTGTTTTCTCTCACTAAACCTTCTTAATTGAACAACTCACTAGTGTTTTCGATATAAAACTTTGTTTGAGGACTATGGAACTGCATACGTCGGCTTGCCTAATTGCTTTTACTTTATTAGGCACCGTTCAATGTTTCTCTACACTATCAAAAAGTCCTTCTGGACCAACAGGAAGACAGATGATTTTCGAATTAGAATCCAAGTTTGTTTACTCACTATTTCTGCCCTTTGAAATTATTACTTTGTAGAATGTCCTGTGTTTACGAGCCCTTAGTTCCCGGCGTGCAACTCGTTCTTGATGTGGACGTGAGCTCACATTCCGACATTTTGATAAATTACATTGAACGCTTCAGACCTATCCGGCTGGTACGAAAGGTCAAACAGTTCAGCTCAGATTAACGTCTCCATCAAATGACTTTTCCGACTGGTCAACAGGAGATGGAAACGCGCATATGCGACACAATGTTACCGAATCGGGTTCGTTTTATTTCTATTGTCAGTCTGAGTAAGACGGAAGTTTATGTTGGAACAAACAATTTTCAATTTTGGCTCTTATTCCAATTGGCTCGCTTCCTCTTCTATTTTCAATTAGAATTTCTTTACTTATTTCAAATACATATTTGAATATCAAGAAATTATAATATTTCGCAATGGTTTAGGTGATTACGAGATATGCTTCTACTCACCAGTGCAGATGAAAGTTACGTTCAGCATGTTCTTCCATAGTCCAGAGCAGCTTTCTCAGGAATTAACTAATCATAGAGCTTATCAAGAATATCAAAAACTTATTGATGTGAACAACATTCTAAAGTTCGAAAACTATGCATTACTTTTAGGAAGTGATAGGAAATCTTTTCCAGCAATTATATAGGATTAAGTATAGTATAAAATATTACAATCAAGTACGCACAGTATATCTGACTGTCTTGTATTGGTATTGTTTCAGATTGTCAATCGAGACGAATCTGTGCAGCTCAAGAATTCTTCAAATATTAAGATGTTCTCCATTGTTTTCTCCGGCATTGCTTTTGTAGTGGCTGTTGTGAACGTCACATTCATAAGAAGGATGTTCAAAGTTGATATTTCGAGAATTCGTATATAAAAAATGAATTTTTCGAAATATTACTACTTGGAAAATAAAAAATTGTTTATCTCAACAAGCACTGTTGGTCGAGAACAAATGTATTGATCGCCATATTAGCATATGAAGTGACTACAGTTGGGCTAACTTTGAACTTCCGTTTACAGTCAGCTGAAAACCATTTAACTTTTAGTTAGCACATAGAGTGGTTGAGAAAACGAATTTATCCTCCATATCTCATCAATTGATAATTTTTCTTATATTTTTTTTAACTAACTGGATATTTGTTTGTTTGTTTCATCGAACTTACTTTGTTTCCGGCGATTAAACTAAATTTAAATGTGATGTACTGCACTGTTCGCGGCTTTTCTGACTTTCGATTACTTTTTATGCTAATTGAAGCGTGATTAGCCCGCTTGTTCACTCAGCGTTGATAGTTTCGTAGATTACAGTAGAAGTTTTCGTTCAGCTAGCCACAATTTCTATTCTTTCTAGATTTCCAATGATCAATCACTTTCAGATTATTTTGATAACCGTTTATTTTGCCTTAACCACATGTATTTGGCGCAACAAGCAAATCTATTATCTCCTCAAAATTTTTCAACACAAGTGAGTTCAAACGAATAATTTTCTCAAATCATACTTTCTTCAGAATAATTTCAACAATAATTTCAATTTATCCAAAGCGTCTCTGTCAAATCACTCCATTATGAATAGTAATACCGCGGTAAGCTGCTCGCGAGATACTCTTCCATGGAAAGTTGTAGATTAACAGCAATCTCACTTTTGGGCAATTTGGTCAAAAAACTTTCCCGGCGGTTCCAATCGCATACTCTGAGGATTCAGTTTCAAATCTATCTTATCCATTCAGTAAGGAATTTCATGCAGAATCAAAAACCTATTTCGAGTCACCCAGCTACAAAAGTAACAAACTTCATAATATGATAAAAAAACTATAATTCAGACTCTTTCTCATGCTCGGGCTTCACCGTAGCTAACAATAGCTTCATGGACTCTTGCGCCATGCAAAACGGTAACACTCTAAATCCTACTTTTAAGCAATCAGATTTTAGAGACTAATAATCAATCAATGAATAAACGTCCTACGCCAATCGGGGTTGAGCCACAAAGTTACCAAGGAAAGCATGGCCAAGAAGTTTTCGCGCGAAAAGTTTTTGTGGGTGGTTTGCCTATAGATGTTAGCGAAGGTAGTGCAACGTTGCGATTTGAAATTTATTAAGCTTTTAAGAGGAAGTACGACAAACTTTTAAAGTTTATGGGAATGTCATCGTGGATTGGCCTCGAAGACCAGATGGTAACAGTAGACATGAAGAAATAAGTTCAAAAAATGGTCTTATCTGATCCAAAACTTCGTTTACTTTTCATTGTAGGAAGATCCATGACTGGATATGTTTTCTTGGTTTTTGAAGAAGAGTACTCAGTGCGGAAATTGGTTGATCAGTGTCATCGTGATAATGACAGGTAAGGGAAATGAAAAAAATTCATTTACAAAGTATCGCTAGATATTACCTATTCGTATCTTCGCCTACGATGAGACAGAAACCAGTTCAAGTAAGACCTTGGAAGTTAGCTGATATGGAATATATGCTGGATCCATCGATGCCATTAGATCCACGTCGGACTGTGTTCATTGGGGGAGTTCCCAGGCCTACTAGAGCGAGTATGGGGAATGATTTTTTTCAAATGTACTTTATCCATTGCAGAAGAATTAGCTGAGTGCCTGAATAATTTGTATGGGTCAGTCTGTTATGTAGGGATTGATATTGACCCCGAACTGAAATACCCGAAAGGAGCTGCAAGAGTTACATTCTCCACCACTCAAGCTTTCATTTCTGCAATTTCTGGACGATTCGTACACGTTCATCATGCTGATACTCAAAAAAGAGTAGGTTAATCTCAAAATGAATAATAGTTGTGATTATTAGGTTGAAATCAAACCTTATATAATGGACGATCAAATGTGCGATGAATGTCAAGGAAAAAAATGCCTGTCGCATTATGCTCCATATTTCTGCGGGGATATAAGTTGTTTACAAGTATTGCTACATATCATAAAAATATATATCAAACCATTTAGTATTTCTGCGAAACTTGCTGGGATCAAATACATTTGAATAATAAAAAACGTGCGGATCACAGACCTTTAGTTAGAATGGGAGATCAAACTAAGGTTCGAAAACCTAATAATTCTTTTACATATTTTTTTCTAGGTTCTGCCAAGACCTCCTCATCATAACAATAATAATGCTAAAGTTAATCAGGCTGGGCGACAGTCCTACTTTTCTCGCAACAATTAATCAATTTGTACTATCTAGTCTCAAGCATTATGTGCGATAATAATGACTTTTACATTTTCATTAATTTCTGGTGCTGAAAGCTTTCGCTATTCGATACTACTAATTATATAGTTTCTGAGTTGAACTCAGGCATCTTGTACGATCGGTTTGTTTTAATCTGTGTTTTCTGTTCCTTATGTAAGACAATATCAGCGTTGTACGCATTTTTCTTGTGACTACGCTCACTCTCAATTTCCATCTACTCTTGAGCACAGTAAAAACTCTTAAAAATGTTTTAGTGATTTCATTGTCTATTGTAAGGTTTCTCAACCTGTTTATAAATGTTGAAAGCATGACATTTTTCGTGAATAACTTTCTTATGTCTGTAACAAATCTTCAAATCAATAAATTTGAATGTTTACAAAAATTTACAATGCAGGTACAGGAAGAAATTAGAACAGAAACCCATTGTAGAAGATATCACAATCATCATTCTGTGGAAGGAAATTTTAACAGATAAAAGCTTAACGACAGACGGTACACCAACCCAACAACAAAAAAGATAATTTAGAAAATAATAACAAGATACTACGGAAAGAAAAAGAGTTAATAAATAGATTTTCTGACTAAATCGTACGCTCCAACTACGAACTCGTAACTGTAGCATGTTAATGAGAGTGTCCATGCCCATTGTGATCGTGGCTATGCCCATGTCCATTATGCGAATGCCCATGTCCATGAGCATCATGTTTTTTCTCCCGCACAATCATTGACCCTCTTGTTACCTATAACAGCCAAATATAGATCATATTCTATGTGAAAAATTACCTTATGACCAGGCTTGTAAGAAGGGCAAACTTGAGTAATCCTTTGTATAAAGTGTTCTTTTTCCACTTGAACAGTAGCCTGCTGAGCTCCGGCTGTCTTAAGAAGTGACGCAACTTTGTGCCTGATCATTTGAGCATTGGCATCGCTTCGAGCTTGTACATGTACGGTTGCCACGTTCAAGTCACTCTTTAACTGCCACATGTGTGCATTAGAGAAAGACTCTACCCCATCAACGTCAAGAACTTCAGCTAAATGAGTTTCAAACTCTTCTTCATCGGGGATATCCTGAACATTCGTTACAATAGTTTTAGTAACTTTTTAATTACTTGTAGAAGAGTGTTCACACTAGACTTTAGCAGAGGTAAAACAGATCCCAAGATGAGTAATGATAAAATAAGAGAACAGAAGGGATCAACCCATTTCCATCCAAACCACTGAAAATTAATTTAAGATTAGCATATTTCGATGCTCATAAGGAAATCTTCAATCATCTTCATATACCCACCTGCATCAAGAGTGTTGAAATAATAACAAATACACTTCCAAGAGTATCAGCTAACACATGCAAGAACACTCCTACATGAAACAGAAAATAAAAAAATTTCGTTCTGAGACAAACCCTCCATGTTAGCATTTCCATGAGAATGGCCATGTGAGCCACCGCCATGAGAGTGTCCATGATGATGTCCATGTTCATCGCCTCCATGGAACGAATACATTCCGAAAAGATTTACGAGTAGACCCGACACAGCGACAAACTGGGTGATAAAAACAAATTTTTTTTTTCACAACGAGACATACCAGAAGTTTATCAGTATTAATATTCGGCGGGTCGAACAACCTTTCCAGAGCTTCTATCAGAATGAAAACCGCAATAACGCACAGGAATAGAGCATTAATGAACCCGGACAAAATCTGATAGAGTCACTGATAAGACCTTTGGAACTCTTTAATACTTGCCTCAACACGTCCAAAACCATAACTGAAATGCCGAGATGCTGGCCATCTAGCCATAACCGAAGCCACTAATCCCATAACCTAGACAGAGAAACATCTCAAAAAATGGATAGTAGACCCACCAGAGCACTACAATCAAAAAGCATATGAAAACCGTCCGAAATTAATCCCAAACTGTTAGTCCAGAAACCATAAAGAAACTCGACACCGCAGAAAGCTAAGTTGACGCAGAGGAAATAGAATATACGCCTTGAGTCAGAATTATTCAAAATTTCTCTCAAAGTTTCCTAAAAAAACAGATATGTGAAATTGTAAGCAACATGGTTTACCTGAAAGAATAACAAAAGCGATCTACTAGTTTTCTGTAAGAACGCTTCACCATACGTGAACAATGGTTGACCACTGTCAGATATTCCCACAAAGTGGCCTCCTCTATGCTTAGGCGAAGAGTTGGATGTTAAGGAAATAGATGCTGTACGATAAGAAAGTCAAAAAAATTGAAAAAAAAAACAGCATGCCTAAAATGAAAGAAACAACTGTTACTACGACACCACCAGTGACAGGATGAGAACCCATCACGTCTCCACTATAAAACTGTCATTAGGAGATGAATTGTTGGGATACTCTAACCTATACCACATGTACGCTAGACCTAAGGCACAAGTAAACATGGTGATAGGAGACCAGCGAGCAGAAGCCAAAACAGGATCAGCTACATGCTGCAACGGGATAATAATAAACTTAACATGAAACAGACTTACTTGGAAACAAACACTTTCGGCGTAAAAATCCAAGACCATCACGAAAAGTGCAGCAAGAGTAGCGTAGAAGATAAGCTCAACATAACTGGTCACAAAACTCTTGAAGTTAGGAAATGAAACTGCTTTAAAATAAGAATAAGAATTACCACTCCCATAGTGACAAGAAGCACAGCTAACGGAGTCAAAAAAATTGCAGAAAAAAGAGTGACAAGTGAATATAAACGTTTTGGACCTCCAATCTCCACAGCCAAATGACGGAAAGACGTATCATAACCTGCGATATTTACATTCAAAAAACTATTTCCGAGCAAATGAACCGATTCGAAGAAGTAAAGCAATTAGTAAGATGAAAACTCCTCCCTGGTGATCAGCAACTCCAAATAAGTTAATGAGATGGTAAAACAAGTGATTGAGTCCACTGTGATGAGAATGCGTTTTATCTTAATGAAAAAAAAACTATAATTGTTTGAAAAGAAATCCCACTATGTGACTCCTCTATGGTATGGTCTTGATCAAGTAACATCAATGACACAAACCCAACGATCAAAAGCATTAGACCTCGGCTTTTAGAAGGGGATGAGTTTCCCTTGAAGAAGGACGCAACGGCTACAAGTAGTAGGGATGGACTCAGTTCGAATACGAGAACAGATCTAAAAGCGTGTATTTCTTGAATTTTCTATTCTATCTTCCCACCTCAAGGGTCCACAAAATGTAATACCGTAGAACCAAAGGATTTCAATTGCACAATTGACTAGGGAAATTCGTGCAACTCGGATCATCTAAATGATCAAATGGAAAGAGCCAAAAGATATTGAATACCAAAGGTTTTCTTATGGATTTTCCAGCAGACAGCGGCTTTTGAACCGGCATCAACACCAAGGAGGAGCTGAAAATATGACTACTTCTTAGTAAAACACTTTGAGCTTACATCAGTTTTAACAACCATAACAACCCAACTACATGTACGCTCTTGGCTAGTATATCTATGCAAAATATACCTATACATCTCATCAACTTAGCTAAAATTAGAAACCCAAAGTATGATGCCGATCTAAAACTCATTAAGACATAGTTTAATCAACATCTTTCAACACTCACTTGGACGATGAGGTTGGAGCAAAATTCCTATCATCTTTCTTTAAGAAGTCGTGAGCCAGCATTTTCTACGTTACGTTGAAAGATTTTTCACTTCAGTTCGGCCTATGTGGTCAATTAAGCATCTGCAAAATCAGTTTAGGTTCAAAATTATATTTGGATGAACGGAAATGAGATTCATAAGCTTAGAGAAGCATCCATTGCAGAAAAGCTACATTTTTCAGAGAGAATACGCAAATATCCGTTAGGGTGAGAGGGCCGCGTGTCCGATTCTTTACTGTACATATATAGTAAGTAAATAGACTTCTTTGGTTCAGTTTTAGAATTACTTCGGATTCATATTTGAATACAAATTGATAAATAAATCGTCTATACTTTCAGATGTGTAGGATACGGGTTTTTCCATTTATAATAGCTGTTACAATTTTGAATAACGTTTGTTCCATTATAATAGACGATAGTGTTCATTTTAACTTCAAATTCGAACATGAGACGGATTTGCCATTCTCCGAAGATGATCTAGGAAATAAAGAATATCTGGAAAAAATTTCAATACGATCTCACGAAAATGAAGACTTCTTTTGTTTGATTCCTCCGATAGGTGGGAAGGTTAGTGTAGATACAGTTCATTAGGGTTCTAATGATCTTTATTTTGGAAAAGTGACTTATATGGAGATCATGTGGAAACAAGTCCGACTCAGTTATTAGCTCCTCTACAAAATGAAAACGTTTGCTCCATCAGGGCGGATGCGTATTGGACATATGAAGTTTGTCATGGGCGATTCGTAATGCAATTTCATGAGGAAAAGGGGGGTACCCTCAGAACAGAGTACTATCTCGGAAATATGAATGCAGAGAAATCGAAAGTGGTATGTGAACTATTGTTCAAGCGTTTACATTTTTTGTCTTGCAGGATATCGATATTAAAAATCCACCGAAAACCCGAATAGAAAATATGGACATGCCGTACTTCCCAGTGAAATACACTCAAGGAACACCTTGTCAACTAATAGAGAAACCCAGAACAACAACAGTTATGTATATTTGCAATGAGGTTCTTTTGTTTGAAACGTAACTTGAATGATAACGCGTGTTTTCAGTACGTACGCTCTCAAATCTACTCGGTAACAGAAGTTAGCACCTGCGCTTATGAAGTTGTCGTTCTAACGAAAGCGATTTGCAAACATCCATCATTCAAACCACCGTCGAAGGATATCCATGACATTGTATGCTACAAAAAAGAAAAAGCTGATGATCCACGACCCAAATCTCTAGCAGAGCAAGAGGCTCGACATAGCTCTACTTTCAAACGAGTAAGATTGCTTGTCGATCATCAGAGGTTTCAATTTTTTTTAGGAGTATTCGATCCCTGAGGGGCACAAAGTGAGGAGAGAACAAGGTCAAAAGCCGGTACTACTCCAAACACACAAACAAGAAAAGTTAAATTCGTAATCTTCACTCGAACTATGTTTCAATTTTAGCTTGGTTGAAAAACCTAATCGAAAGATAGTGGAATCGTGGTATGATTTCCTGAGTGGAAGACAGTGCTTGGAAAGTAGTGATAATGCTTATTGGAAATACAAGATTTGTTTTGGAGTTTCAGTAAGTGTAGATGCTCCAGATAAGTTGAACATTTTATTATTCATTATAGATAACGCAATTCCATGCTGAAGAGAAAACGGGTCGGATTGAAATAGTTCTCGGAGAGTTCGATGAAAAAATTCATAAAGCGTGGGTCGATCAGGATAAAAAAGCTCGCCAACCAAGAAAAATTGGAAAGCGCGTTGCTCGAATTGATTATATGTATGCTCATGGAGAAATCTGTGAAGAAACTGGAGCTCATAGGTTTTTCATTAAATTCAAATATCCTTCAACATTCTTTTTTTTCTAGAAATGTCATTGTTCGATTGCATTGCGAGAAAGGTGATAATCAGGTGTTCATGTTCAACATAGAGGAGCCGAAAACATGCAGTTACATACTTGACATAGAGCACTCGTCGTTTTGCGAGCCGATGCAAACTGCTGACGAATACGGTATTATTCCTTTGGATCCTGCTCATACTGTCAAGTTTTAAAATTACTAACAACATTCCACTTGTAAGTCCTAGTCCAACTGGATTTCTATTATAATAATACTGTACATTTGTTTTATACGGGATTTTATTTTGTTATTTTTTTAGTTTTGAATTAACTTTAACAATTCAACAAGTTTTGCAACGAGAAACCAACAATTTTAATATACATATATGGAACATAAAAACCTAAAATTCTAGTACCAATACGTTGGTTGAGGCTGACTTTGCTCTTTGATTCCATGAGTTTCATTTATTTCTTCCTCAAAAGAACATAGCTTAGGCACATAGGTCCTTTCAAGTACGATGGCTGCAGGAGTATCCTTATTTTCGACTTCTGAAGTTTTCAAATGATGTTTGAATGCCCAAGAGGTAAACGAACCTATATATTTATCAGGCTGTATGTATTCATAAGTGACTTTAGCTTGACTGGGAATTGGGATCTCAAAGCCAGATCGTTCCGATACGCGAATGTACTCGGACTTGCTATCATTAAGAATCCACCTAGAAATGTATATGAATACAGTTTTAAAATGAAGTTACTTGGCAGAACAAGTGTCATTGTCATTAGGATCCACGAGCTTAACTTGGTTTTTGTCTACGCGTAAAGGTTGCTCTTTCCATCTGCAAGTAAAATCTTATATAATGTCCATGAGTGCGACACTTACGACATGACTTTATCAATTCCAATTTTTTCAACTCCTTTTAGCTCTTCTTCGAGCTTGCAGTGCATACCTTCCACAAAAATCTACAGAAACGGTTGCAGAAATAGAAGAATGAGATTTACCTCATTCGTATCTCGTGAAACACGAAGAACTGTTCCTTGTCTTCCTTTATCTTTACCAACCATCACTTGCACAAGATCTCCTGGGAAAAAAGTCCATTGCTCCTCCGGTATTCGAGATATTTTGGATTTTCGCAACTCGAAATGCTTATTTGAGAGTCTTAATCAGATAATTATACATCAAGCCGTGTAGGCAGAACAACTTTGCAGAATGATATTGATTCTCTCTTTCTAAACTCTTTCCAATTACATCATGCTCCCATGGTCTCTGATGAGTAGGCTCGTAATCATCAGGATGTATGACCCATCTTTTAACATCTGGTGCTCCGAACCTGATATTAAGTTGGTTGAATTCTGTTAAGATTAACATACCGTCCGCCGAAGACTTTTCTTGGTATAGTCCTTTTAGTTCGTTCAACATATTCTTTCGGCATATGACGAACATAATCAAGCTCAGTGAAAGGTTTCTTTGGTAACCTCACCAACCTTGATAAATACATGGTTTCCCGAACTACCTAGAGCAATGTAAAACATATTCAAACATGTGTTAGTTTCACCAATTAGGCGTTGTGACGATAACTTTGAGTCCACCTCAACAAGAAAAGAAATAAATTTTAAAAGAAGAAAATAAATAATTATCAGTTGTTGAATTTGATCAGCAAAACTAAAGCTTCGTCGTTCAGCTCAGAGGCAACTATTTCAACTTCCTGTCGGGTGTAAACAGCGTGCAAGAGGACAAACTTTCCATAGTGTGTTGCGTTGTGTTATAGAACAGCAAACTAGATCATCAGAGTAGCAATATGTAATGAATAAGACTTTATTAAATATTTCTTCATTTTTTGTAGTTAATGTTGAAGTACTCTATAAATCATAACGAGAAAAAAAATCACAGAATTAATTGTTGCGCAAACAGAATATGCTTTTACTGTATATTACAGCCAAATGTTCGAAACCCTTATAAATAGAATGAATTGAGAGTAAAGTACACTTTCAAAATGCTCAGAACCGAACCCATTATGAATGTTAAAAGTATTCTTCTAATTGGAGATGATCTCATGGCAAAATTGGATAACAAATTAACACACATAAACTTCTACTATCCGAGGCCAACATCCAGACTCATCATCACCAAAAATCCAACGATACATAAAATAGATGCTAATTTTCCGTTGCCGTTTCTTTGAGCTTCAGGTATTATATCATCCATCACAACATAGATCATAGCACCAGCAGCAAAAGCGAGAGCGTATGGAAGAACGGGCTCCATGAAAATAACAGCAGCTGCTCCAAACAATGCAGCGATAGGCTCTACCATACCGGATAACTGTCCGTACCAGAAAGCCTCAACCAAAATTATAAATTTTATCAATAATCAAATACATACTTTAAGCTTTGAGTGGCCGAAGGCTGCAAGTGGAAGCGAAACAGCAAGACCCTCAGGAAAGTTTTGTAGTCCAATACCTAATGCTAAATTGAAAGCTGTTTCAAAAGTGGCTGCTTCAGTTTTCCCTACTGATCCAAAGCCTACACCAACAGCAAGACCCTAAACGACGGACCTGACTATTCGCATCTGATATTACTCACCTCTGGGATATTGTGAACTGTCACAGCTAAGATAAGCAAAACAATCCTTCTCCAAGAAGTTCTAGTTTCATCGTCAATTCGAGTTACTGTTATGTCCCGATCTCCTCTTGAGATTTGAATGGGATGATCTTCCCCTATTTCTCTATCTTCTGAAGGAGGTCTGAAAATATTGAATGGGCCAACTAACTTTCTATTTTTTAGAAGCTTAAAATGGAAGAAGCGAAGGGAACTGAAGACACGGCAACCACCGCCCAGGACACAAACAATACATGTGTAACTTTTAAAAAAAAGTGCTAATATAACAATGGACAAGAGACACAACATAGGGAGAGGACAAGCACGAAACCAGTGTCCACGGGCGGTGGCTTACCTAACGTTAGCTTTGGACCGAAAACGGATGTTCTCGTTATCAGAGCATCTTTCATACCGGCGAGTGTTATCGTCTCCAACAAGTGCCAATTCTGTTTCTGTTTTCGAAGGAGCCAGAACATCAACGACGCTCGCTTCAGCTAAGACGCAACTGAAAGAAAATTTTAATCACAGATAACAGCAGAGTCTTACGTAGGAAGCATTCGATCAGCAAAATGAACAAAAGTGGCTCCAAGAGCAAAGCCAATACCCACTGGGATAAAAGCGAAAGATCCGTGATCTTTCTCAGCGAAGTCAATTGCTGGAGCAAGTAATGACCAAAATGAAGCTGCAGTCATCACACCCGCTGCGAAACCCAAACTGCCATCTATAATACTTATGTCCTGATTGAGGTAACTTGGTAACAAACCAAGTAATTTTTTACTCTGATGTTTCATAACAAAGACTAATGACGCTCCTAAAGCTGTAACTCCCCATGTGAAACAAGCAGCAAGCAATGCCTGATAAACAGGATGTATCCCTCTGATCATTCCTAAAAAGTAAGTGCAATGTGGAGAGAAAAACAAGAAAAAACGGCATCAACAAAAAAATAAAGGTTCAGCATGTTAGATTGAGAGCGTATGACGTGTCAATCAGGATATGTACGTAAGCCATTATTATTAAAGCTGGAGATGCATACGCGATGAGATAACAGAGAAAAGGTTTCAGGGCATATCTTCCGTGTTTCACAATAAAAAACGGAGTCTCGACCATTAATGTATCAATACATTCGGTCTTTCAACGATCACAACACTTCATTAAATTGTTTGATTAAATAAATCAAGAGATAATTCAATAAGTCTGTTGAACACTGAACACCTCCACAGCTGTAAACGACCGGTCTCAATCTCCCTATTGTTCGAAACAATTTTCATTCAAACAAAGGCAAGACTTTATAAAAAAAGAGCAGAAGTAGTGGGAGTTGTGTTGCAGTCATTGAAGAAGTTTAGTGTTACGATAGTTCGAATGAAGAATGTAGCTTTCCTTTTTAACACTTGAAGTGATCCATTTTTGGTGAAGTTTCAAAACAGATGAGATGGTTGGTGTGACAGAAATACGAACTACTACTCTCATATATTCCAATGAGGAGTATATACGATTGAACCCATTATTTAACTTTCTGTAATCTCACGCTTGAAGAGGAACTGATAAGAATTGTTAAGCGTTTCAATTTATTGTTATTTTGGTTGGACATTTGGATAATAAGTAGAACTTAACAATTTCATCCGAAAACCATCAATAAAAAAAGAAACTAATGAGTTTCATTTATTTATTTCATCAAGTTTAGAAGTTCCAAGGATTACATAGAATACAAGAGTGTAAAAAGTCCAATGACACATGAACTTCCAAGTTTCATTCTACATTCGCGCCTCAGTCAAATAGTCTTGGCACGAAGTGGGCGGAGCCAAAAAAAAGCTGCTTTATTTAACTTAACGCTTTTTAGTTTTAAATAAACATTTTTGATAATGTTTTTTGAACAGTAATTCTGATATTTAAACTTTAAAAGATGTATCATCATTAAGAAAAACCTTACCTAAAGACTTATTTACGCATTTGAAGGTTTGAAGGGTCCATTCGATGAAGCTCTACCTAACCTCACAATAGACTAACATAAATATATAAGTAAGTTGGTTTATTATGAATTCGTTTAGGACATTTCGAATGTTTTTTTTCTATCACGATGATGAGAATTAAAAATATAAACATGAGCCATCAGTTTGGCTAGAATATGACGTGAAAGGCAACAATGCCTCCAATCATTGTATAATAAAATTTGGGCACCCTTGGGAAAAGATTTTTACACGGTTCTCCCTCCCAAAGCTGACACTCTGTCTGTATTGAGTTCAATAACTATTTTCAATATCCCTTTTAATCCGAAATCTATACAAAAATGAAAAAGAGTGTCGAAAAACGTAGATCGTTAGCGGTCGGCTGCTTCCGAGATCCAACTAAAATGGGTATATTCTATAGTCTTCCCTATCTACCGTTTTAAATTTTCATCATTTTTTTAGACTTACCAACACCCAGTAGGGGTCCTCAGAGGAAAGCTTCTCTTTTCCATAACTTTGTCTCGCCTGTGAAACCTTCCACTCGCAGGTAATGTGGAATTGACTTCAATTCTCTGCTAATCCAATATTTAGATACTCTTTATCCAGTCTTGTTCTTGGAAGTAGTACTACATCAGCAAGGTGTTCCTTCGATAGATCTTCTTCACCTCCAAACGATTCAGGCAAGTGTCTTTTGTAGATACATGGTTTTCTATTTTCTCTGAATAGCCTCTATTGTTAAGTAGAGTACATACAAAATAATGAAAAACAGTTATTGTTATTTTATGATGACATGGTTTCTGTTTAAGTTTAATATTCACTTTCTTTCCGGCATGACTCAGTATGCTTTTCTTTGAGTGTTGTTGTGTGAGGTAAACAAATGTTATCAATATTTTTGCAACCTTCTATACTCCAATGCTATCATTCTTCATCGCAAAATGGATCTGAAGCACTACGTTAAACCTAAAGCTTATAACCGTCGTTATTCCTTGAATGAAATTAAAAAAACGTTGTCTGCTTTTGCAAATGGGCGAAGGAGTTTTGACTTAACCTTTATACAAAATGATGTTAAGAAGGGTTTGTGCTTATATTTTACTTACTGATGAAAACAATATTCGATGTTCCTTTTCAGAAGCTGATTTTCTTTCCGGTCATTCTATATTTTCTGAAGAGTTCGTAAACACTCAGTGTCCTTTTCTTAAAGATAGTTCGCCCGTTTTTCGAACAGGTGAAGAAGTATCTCTACTTACAAGTGAGTTCTTAATAAAATATGTGAATAATGTTTTCCATTAAGTAGGACGTCGCTCCGTTACTACTTCTTGTATGGGTCGAGCTATGAGAGTAATAGTTGCTGGCTCTAAGAAGGTTGGGAAAACTTCCATACTCAGACAAGTTGCCTGCATGGAGGACATCACTACCCAGGTATGCTGTATTACAGAAACCTCAAAAATATCAACTTCAGCCTTATTGCCCCACTCTTGATGACACATATCAGGTGTTGTTGGAGGAAGGTGATAGACCAAGAGAAAACCTAGTATTCCATGACACTGGTGGTATTGCTGATTATGGCCCCGCCGAGCTGAAAAAAGCATATCTACAGGTTTATACATAATCTATCTGTGCAATTAGTTTTTGAATTATTTTAAAGGTAGCAGACGCCTTCGTCTTGGTGTATTCTGTCGTGGATCATGAATCATTCAATCGCGTTGATCTTTTGAAGAAATTCATTGAAAAACAATTTGGAAAAGAGAAGAAAGAAGTATGGAAACATATTGATTGCTTTTGAACATTGCTGTGTTAAGGTTCCCATAGTTGTGCTTGGTAACATGCGAGACTTACCAGGTCGTCAAGTGGACAGAGAATTCGCTCAAACTTGGGCTACTCGGGAAAAAGGTAGCAATTCTAAACTAATATAGCTATTATGGTGAAATTCCAGTCAAACTTTTCGAAGTAACTGCAACCGACCGATCAAGTCTTGTTGATTTCGTTCAATATCTAGGAATGCGTCATTTCCATCCTAGCAGTACGTTTCAACCCCCAGGACAACCTTCCTATGTTTTTTTTCAGAGGAATCAAAGTTTTCATTATCCAAGAAACTGAAATCGGATAAGTCGAATGCAGCTATTGTTATGGACTTCTAAATATTAACTTCAATTAATTTCCAAAGTTATCACTTGTGAGCATGATGTACAGGTTTTTAATCAGGTTTTTACGTAATACTAACAGAGTTCTTGTTACTGCCCTACACTTAAAGCACATTATAGTTTTTTATTGTATATTGTTGATATTCTTCTACCTAAGGGATATTTGAATGTGATTGTTTCAGACTTTGCCATAGTTAAAAATGAAATTTTTATAAATCAAAACGTAACAACTCATGTAACAAATTATAACAATTACAGATGAATAACAAACCTAAATCAAAGCATACTCTGGGATTCTGTCCTTCGTTGATCTCGCATACTTGTTCCAAATCTGCAAAGCTTTGAGATATTAATTTAGACTATTTGAAGCTTGACCTCTTTAAGGATTAAAGAAGAAGTCATGGAACCAGATCGGGAAGATATCAAATGCAGGATAAGTAAACCATCGGAACCCATTAACTGAAACAAAATTTGCTCAAGTACACAGTTAATACAAACCGTAGAGAAGAACTGTTGTGATGCTTTACAAAGTTCGGAATCATGATCACTCAACTCCTGAATCAAATATTCAATCAAAAGACTTTACAGAGAAAACCTGAACGTATGTGGTAAACATTTGTCCTGTGAAAAAACGTAAAAAATAGAGCAAATTCAGTAATGAGAGGGAAGACACCTGGGAAATATTATTTTCACAACTTCAAAAATACTACTAACTATTATGAACCAGACCCAAAGTATAATTAGTATTTTCTCGTTATACTCGTTTATTGTGAGGAAACATTGAGATGTATAGGTTTGCCCATTTACAATGTCGTTCGAGGTCGTCTGAAATAAACAAGTTATCTGGCTTTCGATTTAATTTTCAGATTTACGATTTTGTAAGTACAATACACAGTTTGGGGGAAATAGGTGTGATTTGAACTTTCCGAAGCGAGAAACGCGGCGAATATCTAAGAATGTAAGTTTTCAGGAATGTTGTTACTGCTACGTACTTTAAGAACCCATCCGTCATTGAATCCGAGAAACTTTGTAATGGAAACTAGTTGGATGAGCACATGAACCAGGTTGCATATCTTTATGATGAAGTAAAACCATGTGAACACAGCTGGATGGATGAAAATTCTCTGCCACCCTTTCTGAAAGAACCTTAAATTAACGAAGAAATTCTAGAATACGAACCGCTTCCAACGTTCTAAAATAGAAGTAACCCCATATATATTCAGCTATTTGCTGCGCCTAAGAAAGAATGTTACAGGTAAAGGATCAAAAAAAACTTGTTTCAATGTTAATCACACCTTCTCTTTTCGTAACTTTGGATCAAAAACTTTGGTAAGTGAATTGGATTCTTTTAAAACAGTTTTAACGTCAATATCTACAATCTTGTGGAATCAGTTAAGATTTTTTAATGAACTTACATAACAGTGATTGTAACCACAACCAAAAGAGATGTAGAAAACGGAAACAGAAAATTTGGAAACAGAAAAACAAAGGAAGCCACTAGAAATAAAGCACTTACGTAATTTTGACTGTTGCTTTAAACATACTTGGTAATATTTTAGCCGATCCTCCTCGGTTGGAATACTATCAATAGATTCTTGCTTAGTTGTTCCAACAACATAACAGTAACCAAGAATATAGGCAGACCACCCACGCACTTCTGCAACTCAATTGTTTGCTGTAAGATGCTTTCAAACTCACTGTCGATGTGAGCAGCTATTAAGCACTGTAATGGCTTCCCAAAAAGTTGACCAGATCCGGCAACAACAGCAAATGTAGTGAGAAGGATCACTGAAACAATTACACCAATTTCGAAGAACTGAACCGAAAAAACCTGTGTATAACGAATGAAGTAAATCAATCGTGTCAGCAACAGAGGATAAAGCTGCCTTCTTCACAGTGCTGGCAATAGATTTCCCTATCCCTGCTGTATTGAACATCTATGGATTAAAAAAATAAAAATAAAAATCTATTACTGTTAAAGAGATAATAATTTTTTTTCAAATCCTATATAGTTGACCGCAATAGATGCCGTCCGCGTCATTATAGGCTATATGATTTCAAATACAAAAGCTGCCGCGCAATTAATATGAATATGCTAATATTCTCTGCGAGGAACCCGTTCTCATATAATTTTTGAAGTTTTCCGTTTTCTTTGAATTTTTTGAAAAGTTTCTCAATTATTCATTGATCTCCAAGGTTTTCTTAAATGTTTAAGCCATTTTTGCTTTGAAAAATGATTTAGGTCTTATGGTGTTTTTGTTTAGTTCTTTTCATCAGCTTTTTCTGTACTTGTCTCGAATGATTGAGTTAGTTATTGTTAAATCTGATTAGTTCATCTTTGTCTCAGAATTCAGAAACTTTGTATTCAATTTTTGCTACTTGCTGGAAGTGTATTCACATTGTAGCACATTTTCCTTTTCATTTTTCATTCAAATAACTTATTTCTCTTATCTGTTATTTTCCTATGAATTTACAATTGTTTATTGTTTATAATAATATAAATCTTATATTTACCTTTTTTGTGCGGGTTAATATCTGAAACCTTGCAGTTTTTCATTGGTTCTTTCCATTCAATTGGAGAGGCTGTACTTTTTCTTCATTAATTTTATTTTTCGAAAATTGAAGTTTATTTTCAATGATTCTTTTAAGAAGCTGGATGAATCCAATACTTGTATATAATCTGTAAAATGGAGGAAAAATGTACCTTTGATCTGGTGACTCTCCTAAGGGCTCAAAAACCCATTACGTGTAACATAACTTGTGAGTTTTATTTCAACTATTTCTTAGAGAATCTTCCTAGATCGAGGAGTTGATAACTCATTTGGTGTTTATCAGCATGCTTTGACATCTTATTTTTCACAGAATGCACTTGTTTGGAAACGGTGAGATAAGAGTTTTTTTTGTAAATAAAACTTGTTATCTTTAGAAATGGGAAAGCATTTCCTTATCGCTTAACAATTCCTTTGAAGTTTGTAACGTTTGAGGAAGCTTTGTGTTGGAAAGCAGATTTAGACTCGGAGGAATTGGTAGGCTTAGCCTACTTGCATGTATTCTTCATTTGTTCATCGGTAAAGAGTGGCTATGATTGTGTTAAAGTTTCATCTTCAATGTTTACAGTCTGTCGAAGAGTATAGATCATCAGTTCGTCATAATGTATCTGAATGGTTTTCCATGGTTGACATGCTTGATCAAATTCTTAATTTTAAAATAATTAGGTTTCTTCCAAACCTGATGTTCAATGGCTCATAGTCATTGATTCAACTCGTGCAAAGGAAAAGAAGAGTAGAAACTCATTAATGGAAAAGCTGAAAAGTGATTTCAGTAAGCACACCTCTAGGTTTTGATTTTATAATTCTTTTCATAACGTTGTTTTAAATTTCAGACTTATCGAAGTATCGGAATCTGTAGAGCATGGTTCTTTCATCGCTCTAGCTCAAGCAGTTCAAACTGCTTTATTAAGTCATTTAGACTTAGTTGTAAACTCTTGGGAAATTGAAATGGGTACCTATATGCTTATAACAGTTTCAACTTATGAGTATACTTTAGGTAAAAGCAAGGATTCTTGTCATGAAAAAAGTTGGGATCTGCAGAAGTTTTTTGTTTCAACAGTTAGGTTACTATTCAACCGTTTGAACAAATTTTCCTGATTAGACCGAACATGCTCGTTTCTTTTGGAGTTTAGGCGCTTTAGAACACGCTTTAACGATATATGATGATTTGGATAGATTCTTGTCAACCATCACTCATTTCAACCACAGTAGTTCGTCGTTTTTTTGGAAATGCGAAATTCATTCTATTTCAGATGGAGTGCCGGAGTGGTTGCTCCTCATGCGATCATCAGAACTTTCCGAATGTCCAGCTATTAGTTCAACGATGACCAAAACAGTATTCGGTATTCGGGAAAAATTCTCTCTATTAGGTATAGCTTCTTCTTGTTTTCAAGTTTTGGAATGAACTTACAGATGTTCGACATTTCCTTCTCACGCAACAAGTGCTATTATGCCTACATTTGAATCACAGCAGAGCTCGGTAAATCACAACATAAATCCAGAATAAGCATAATATTCTAGATCAAGAGGAGCTGCTCCTTCCCTGCGATCAGATTTTGCCGGTTTAATTCTAAAATATACACATCACGCACATCAAACAATTAAGGAACACAGCCTGATATTAGAGGTTCTGAACAGTTTCTATGACCTTCATTTTGCTCTTTTTCAGTTACCAGAAGATGAGAAAAAGTTCGCATGCTATACCATATTGCTAATCGGTGAATCACTGCACATTTCTGGATTGCTTGCTGGATCTGCATCTATTGAGGAAGCTGCATCTCCATCCTTATGTCAGTTACATATATCACGGTTCAACGCGGTATATATGAAATGATGCACGTATGAAAATGCTCTTTCTATCATAGGTTCACTCTTTGGACTATGAAATTCCGGACGAGAGACTGATAGAATGGCTCAAAGAGAGCAAATTGCAAGATAATTTTTTAATTGAAGTGCTACAAAACAAAGCCCTGTACTCTGTACAGTTCCAGAAGGTAAATGAGGGGATTCGTATTTTCGAAAGTTTTATGTAAAGATTCACGATATAACGAACTCTATTCTAACTCAATGTGGAAGAAAAAGAACTTGTGCCTATATTGGCGGTGTGTTTTCACAGTGGTTGAGGTGAGTACCTGAATTTAATTCGAGCAATGCTTATTCATATACACCGATAGGAAAGAGACGCGGTCAGATGCTGCATTGCCATATCATTTGCGATTTGTCAATGAAGTGATCGAAAATGGTTGCTGCTCACCAAAAGCGTTAGAGGAGATTAAAAGCGTCTCAAAATTGCTCAACCCAGAGCATGACTTCTCCAGGTTTGACCCTGTCATTTCATAACCTAACTTATATATACATATACTTAACTGTAGGATTCTGTCTTTTTCGTTATTTATCTGTTTCAATGCCGAGGATGATTCTATGAAACTCGATTATGCTAGACAGTTTTTGGAACTATTAGCAACAAGACAATACGGCAGGCTCAAGTATAGTTTCACACTTAGCTTTTTTGAAAATACCGAATATTTCTTAGCCTATCGTCATTAACTCCATATTCCAACGCATTATTCAAATGTGCTCTCAAGAGTTTCCCATCTAACATTCAACTACCGAACGGAGTTTTTGAAATAGGTTACACTTTTCGTTTTCGACTGGTCGACTATAGTATCATTCAGATATTGAAGTGGAAAATTTACTCCCATGTGATATTGAAGACTGTGAAATTACTATCCAAGTTAGGGAAATAGACTCGGGTCTTTTGTCTAGGCGAAAAAGACCTGTTTTTCAACAGAACTTCAGTGTTAGATTCATACTTCATATTGAAGAAATGAAACCAACTTTACATTTAGACTCGCGATAGTGCCACGAGGATTCTCGCGGTTCATAGAGGACATGCTTTCGACCGACCTGTACCACCTAGTCCTTCTGCAGCTTCAATAGAACTTAATGAGAAAACAGCTTTGAAGAATGGATTGAATAGATGCGTGAGTTTTTCCTCTCTCCGTCACGATTTTAACCATAAGTTCTTGTTTAGTTTTTATCCGCTCCGGCGTTAGTTAAAGGATGTTATGTATTAGAGAATGTTAGGATTTCTCTAGTTTCTGCTTCTGTTGTAGTTGATTTCCCGGCTGATCACTTTGAAAACATTAATCCCCTCATTTGCTTTGTTCAAAGTTCACCAAACTCTCTGTCTGTCGCTGATGCCAAAGGTAAAGGGTCCGTCGTAACCGTGGTTAAGTTTTGTTGGTTTAGACTTATTAGCAGGAGTAGTTCAGTCGATTGACGTTATAATACAGTCTGGATCTATGATGGAAACTTCTGAAGTTACAGTAACAGCTAGTGAAGATGCTTCTGTCGAATTTCTTGTGGGCGTTTCGTCGTGAAACAATTTGTAGAAATAGTAGTTATAGACTGAGAATGGAGAGTGGAAAAAGCTACTTAGTGTTCCAGTCCCAGTATTGGCAACTGATCAGAAACATAGGTTTTTTTCTTCTATTATCAATTTATCTACGTTATCAAGATTCACTGTTCAATTATGTGTTCCAATGGACTCAGCCATGACTGAATCGCCAGCTGTCCGGAAAGTAAAAGTATGACATAAATAATGTTATATTGAAGTTGCTCTTAGTTCTCTTTCGAATGGATGGGAAGAACATGGACTTATGATTTGTCTTTTGTCGCATTACTTATTTTATCTTCAAAAACAACCATCTTAGAAGACAAGTAATTCTGATTCGCATTGTCTTAGTATAATATGATTCAAGGATGCTTTACGAATTGGAAGTTGCCCGGGCACTAGCTGACGAATGGACTGTGATTTTTGAATCCGCCATCTTGAGTGTTGAAGACAATGACTCAGATGCTCCAAAACATGCGGAACTACTTAATACCGAGCTAGATGGACTTATTCCAAATATTGTATCTTCCCTTGTATGGAACTTGCCGGTCAAAAGTGAAAGTCCGTTACTTCACAAGTTAGATATAAAATATAAAGTGAAGCCTAGCAAGGTATTGAGGAAACAGCTGAGAATGTACTAAGTCCTTTTTCAGAACGATGATGTTGATTATTCTGAGCACCTGTACTCATATATTTCTGAGTTCCATTTGAAAGTTCCTCAGGTTAGAATGTTTCGTTACAAAGTTTGTACAAGCTGCTACTTAAGGTTGGTTATGAACTATGTACACAGATGTTATCTCACCAACCGGGCGCCCAACTGTGCAGAGCTGGTTCTCCTTGTGATTTGGTTGTTTCTTTAAGGTTTTTTCATGTTCAGCTTACTGTTCTAAATCTTAATAACAACAGATCGCTTTATCATTCTGTTGAAATGCTTTACATTGTGTTAGATGCCGATGCGAACCTATGGACTCTAAACGAGAGAGCAAAGAGTAAGCACACTTAATTTTGAGTTTATGGAAAATTAAACATTTCAGTTTTACAAGTGAAAGAATCAGGGTTGGGACAAATGGCCTTCAGCGTAATTCCTTGTGCTGCTGGATTTCTGCCATATCCATCTGTTTCAGTATACAGTTGTATAAATATTGGGGTAAATATTTCCTCCTCCCCTCATAAAGTTCAATTTTTCTATTTTTGCAGGGTCGTAACTTGGAAGCTGGGTGGACTGAAGGAGTGGATATTGTCCCCGGTTCCCCTTTGATTTCGTTTCAGAGAACTGCAGGGAAACAAATACGAGTTCTGGCAGCAAGCCTGACAGACTCTCAGACAACTGAACGAAAAGCAGGTTTCAAGCAGAAAATTGTTAAGTTATTCGATTAATAAGCATTTATTATACAAAACTAGCATTTTTTTTCGCATTTCAATTTTTTTCCTTGTGATGTTATACGTGCAATACTAGTTTTTTCAAGACGTGTCTTTTAGGTACTTTAATGACTGTGATTCGAATTTTACGCTTGAATAATAATATATATTTTTCGGTTATGATATCATACATCTTCGGTTTCGATCCGAGTTCCATATATTTTAATTCATTACAGTTTTTTCCGTATTAGAAACGTTCAGATATGATCTCGAACTATGATCGCTAAGAAGCAAAGACACTTTGTTGCTCTAATGCTCATTGTTCTCTTCATATTATTTTCATCCGCATTCTACACAAATTTTTCTTCCTCTGTTCTTCAAGCTAGTGGGACAAGTCATGGAGCGTTCGAAAATTCACCTTTCGAAAAAGTACGATAGTACTGTTTTCTTAATCAACATTCTCTTCGCAGATATTCGTTCACTTGGATTTGAAAGGTGCTCCACCCAAATTATCTTTCTATGAACCATTCTTCACTCTTTTGAAACAGCTAGGAGTTAAGGGTGTACTAATTGAGTATGAGGATGCTTTCCCTTATTACGGACAGCTGTCCAAGGTTCATTGCACTGAATAACAGCTTTACTGTTGATTTATAGTTACCTAGAGATGCTCACTATTCGAAGCAAGACGTATTCCAAATACAGAAGGTGATATTTAACTCGTGTCTTCTTCCATCAAAATCTTTAAGGTTGCTAGGGTGAATGGGTTGGAGGTTATTCCACTGATTCAAACGTTCGGTCATCTAGAATTTGTGCTGAAACATGCGATGTTTCAAGATCTTAGAGAGAATATTGAGAAGGTTCGTGTTCAGAAGCTAACATCGTGGAATCGAAAATTTAGGAGGATAGTATTTGCCCCTCGGAGGAACGTTCTATTAGACTTATTGCGCAGATGATTCAACAAGTAAGGGTTCAAATCATTATAATATGTTATGTTGTGTTGATAAGATGCGAGAGCTTCATCCTTATTCTGAAGCAATACATATAGGAGCTGATGAAGCTTACCATGTCGCTGAGGACAGGAGGTTAGTTGTGGAGTAATATTTAGAAATATTTTTTTAGGTGCAAGGAAATGCTAGCTTCCTTAGGCCAAAATAATAGAGGAGTTGAACGTCTGAAACTGAGACATATTGCCAGGTTTTCAGATTTATAACTCAAAACTCAAAATACTTTTAAGAATCGCGAAGTTAGCATCCAGTTATAATTTTACCAAAGTTTTTGCTTGGAATGATATGTTTGACAAATCTTCCATCGAAGATATGAAAATGGAACAATTAGGTTTTGAACATCATTATTTTCGGATTGAATTAATGTTTTCAGGGAAATTGATCGTACCTATGGTCTGGGGGTATGCGCCAAATGTGTTAAGAGAGAATTATTTTCCTCCTGGTCTTTTTGAAAGATTAGTTGCAGTGGGTTGAAAGATGCTTGTAAGAAAATATATGGTTTTAAGGTTTTTCCCAAAATTTGGTTTGCTAGCGCTTATAAAGGAGCGAACGGTGCCAACCAAACTTACATCAATGTTGAGCGCTACTCCACCAATCAGCGTTCGTATGTCAGACTGTACGAACATTATACAACTGTACTACCAATATAGAACTTGAACAGAAAATAAAAGTTTGTATTGTAGATTCTACAAGATTCTGTGGGTGGCATTGTGCTTACTGGATGGCAACGATACAAACATAGGTTTCCACTCTGTGAGCTGTTACCTACTTCTATACCTTCGTTAGTTCATAATATATTATATCTGAACAATGTTAGGCTATCTCAGTCCCGTATTGATACAATGACAATGGTAAGGTTTATTTGGCACATAGACTCAACATTTTTTCTTACAGGAAGTTCTGAACTGCACCGGTAAACACCAGAGAAGGAACCTCCTACCTATTCCGTTTCGGAATTACACGTATTTTCCGGAAAAAGAAATGATCTATTCTTCTTGTCAGTTTTACGGTTCAGATGTTTTCAATATTGTAAGTTCTTTTGCTCTTGCAAGTTTGGTTATGTATCTTTGTTCAGATAATGAAAGATCTGCGTTTTTTACATTGGAAAAGCAATTACTTGTTGCCAGTAGATATTCCTCTATTCCAAGAGGAAATTCAGTCTCTGAAAAACAGAGTCTTGAACATTTTCCCTAATTATTTTTTTAAGAGAGATGTTGACGAATTCCTCAAGCAAAACATTGAATCTCTTGTATCCAATTTTTAAACATTTGCCACTTTGTTCAATTACGAGTATTAGATATTCAGAAGTCTATGCCATCGTCTTCATTAAACAGCATAATAAATTTCATATTCGATTATTGTGTTAGATTGGTTGATTCCTCATATCTTTGTTGATTCATCAGTTTGATCCATACTTGGTTTCCATGCAGCATGAAGAAGAATGTTAAGGAAAAAGATGACACTCAACTTCTTATCAATAGACATAGTAAGGCTTTAACGTTCAATATCTCTTAGTTCCGATACCTCAGACTCAGACGACATTGGAAAACTTGAAGATGATACGAATTACCACGCAACTAGCCCAAATTTTCATGCTCTTCCTCACATTTTCAATTTGGTAAACTGTATAGTTGGAGTTTCTGTTTTAGCAATGCCATTTTGTTTCCAACAGGTAGTCCTTTTGCTTAACTCTTCCCCTATATATATTTTTCAGTGTGGCATATTACTAACTGTTATTATGATAGCGTTCTGTTCAATACTTACCAAGGTTACATGTCATTTCTTAACGAAAATATCATTCTCTTCGAGGTTACTTAATAATATAGCAACTTAACTTCTAAATATTTATTTAGAAAACGTAGCTATGAAGCGCTCGCCCTAGCTGGGTTGGGCTCTACTGGGCGACGTTTTGTCGAAATTAGTCTTCTACTTTTTTTAATGTCATCGGTAGTTGCTTATATTGTTGTTATTGGAGACATCGGTCCACACGTAGTGGCAGATTACTTAGAGCTTGAAGCTCCCACATCACGGTTACGAACTCTTGTTTTGGTATGAAATGTGCTACCTTCTCCATACAATGATTTTTCAGATTGTAATTATGTTGTTTGTTGTTTTTCCTTTGTGCTGGATCAAGGATTTAGAGACTTTCTCCGTTTTAAGTTCGGCTGCCGTTTTGTTTTATGCGGTTTTTGTTGTCAGAATGGTATTTCATCGTCTAGATCCGAACACTATAATATCATTATAGCTTGGAGAAGCATTACCTGTGTTATACGATGGTAAGTGGAGTATGAACGTCGTCTGGTGGAGACCAGAAGGTTTCCTTAAATGGTATAATGTGTATTTGCTAGTTCCTACTCCTACAGAGTTTCAGTTTGCCTATAATTGCAATGGCTCTTTCATGTCAGACTCAGCTCTTCTGTGTAATGCAGTGTATGAAAGATCCTTCTGCCCAAAAAGTAGAGATTGTGGTCTCATCAGCTATAAATTTCTGCTCCGCAATGTATAACTCGTTTCATACATATCATATTTCTCTCTACCTCTATTATTTCAGTTGAATGATAATTATATTTGCAGGTATGCAGCAGTCGGCTTGTTTGGATATGTAGCATTTTTTGCAAAAGACCTACATGGCGATGTTTTGGTTGAACTAGGTTTGAAACGGTTAGTCAAGTAACTATAATGCTGAATCATTTCAGAGTCTTCTTTCTTGACAGAAATGCTGAAGTTGGCATTTATGTTATCTATAGCTTTGTCGATTCCTTTGATGTTGTTTCCAACTCGATCAGCTATGTACAACTTACTGCTCCGAGATGTATGTTAAAAAGTTCTGAACCATTTTACAATCTCATGTTTTAAAGAGCGGTTGTGATTTACCGTCTGCCTTCATCGATTCTCACACTTTTCATATTTTAACTGTAATCATATTAGGATCTAATGTTATGGTAGCGCTTCTCATACCAAACGGTTGTAATCAGTATTATTTTTTTTCTGAAAGAGCTATTATTTAGTTGAATTCGTGTTAGGATTGACCGGTTCGCTTATTGGATCATTGGTTACTACTATAATTCCATCGGTTCTGTATTTATCTTTGATCAGGCGCGGGTCGAATTTGACAACGGTTGCTAAGGTATGTTCGATGCTTTGGAAAGTAATGTGAAGTTTTTTGTTAGCTATGTATGATTGTGGGATTCTCGATCATGTTAGGAAGTACATGGGCTACTCTAAGTGCTGATCAGCGCAGTTCAATGGTTGAAAAAGTTTGTTTTCTATAGTTGAGAATGATTTACTATAACACTTGGTTATATAGCCAGTTCCTAAGGATTCTGTTGTGGACCCCCCTGCTCTGAAATCACTCGAAAGACTAGAGGAGAAAGTGCTAGATACTAACTTGAATATTTCCCAGGTCAGATAAATGGATTCGTGTTAAGAACCTTTCCGTTCCAGAAATTAGATGACATTGCAAACTTTGCTGCTAAGGGTGATCAGCAAGAGGCAGCTCGACTAATTGTCGAAATGAAAGAGCAGCAAGAAGAACAAGTATGCTTCAAAGGTTATTTCTTACGTTCACTATTTTTCATTCCAGGTCAAACTCATAAAAAAACAAGAAGAAATTGTGGAAGAGCTGAATAAACATGTTGAGAAGCATAAAATAGGTTTGAGCGTTATAACTTCGAAACTTTATATTATGTGCTTCAGCTAGTATAGAGAACAATGTTAAATTAGAGAAAAGCCTGAATAACACCGAAGAAGAAGAAAAGGTTAGACAGTAACTATTTTTATCACACGTCTCATCAAGCTCATTCAGAAAACAATAGATCTTAAAGATTCTAAAGAGGGTGATATTAAAAAAGAAGAAGTGAAGAGCAATGAATAGTGCTCTTCACATAACAAGGTTCCTAAAGTATTTATATTACGGGTTACCATTATAAAATATTCTTATAGAATAAAACAATATATTTTATCCTCTCTCTACTTGTGGAGAACAATGTGAGAACAATAAATAGTAATGACATCTAATCTGCAACAAAGTATGCGATGAGGAGCTGTCGCTACTATGCTTCAAAAAAACAGAAAATCGGAATGAGAAGAACAATATTATCCCCTAAACGGCGCTTGTTCGGTAAATGAAAAATATAAAACATAACAATAGGACAGTTTTTTTGGTATCATCCGACAACGAAATAAGTGTTCTTGATCAATCGTGCCTGTCATAACATTCAAAAAAACAGAAAATCAGAACATTCCCAAGTTCACGCCCAGGTGAGCAAGTGTGCGTTCTCTCCCAATTTTGCATCGATGCTCATTTACTCGTTTATACCATGATGCTATGGAAAAACCAAAAAGTGACTGAAATGTTTATTGTATGCTGAGAGATGTAGTGTCTCTGAGTTATCAAAGTGTGAAACCCGAAAAGGGTCTTGTACGTCTTGCCCTCCTTTGACTAACAGTTCAGAGATCTGAGAAATGTTCGTGTCGATATCCAATCTCCACATTTGTTATTCGGAACAACGAGATTCATCCACCATCCAATTGTTTCCTAGAGTAGAAACAATCAAAATATGAATATGGCGTTCTCCTTGTCCATAGTTTGAACTCAGTTGGTTGTTGAGTGGGATTCTATTTCTTGTAATCACAATT